GAACAGCTAGTTTGATTCTCCTGTGATATTTTTGTAAGTCATGTCTGACCTGAAACATTGCATCATCAGTTTTAGCTTTGCTGTGAGACAAAATGAAGGTTAAGCCCCTGCTTAACAAAGAACGCTGTGCATCAGAAAGTACAAAGGTTCTGGACAAGTTACATTGTTGTTCACAGTGCTTCTATGCCCTTCCTGTCCTGGTAGGCTATCAGGGCTGCCTGTTTTAACCAGACAGACCAGTGATGCCACATTCTGGCTGCCGTGAATCTGGTCCAATGGACCTAGTCTGGTTTAACCCTGAAATAGGCAGCTTCCAAGGCATGGATGAACCTGTTGAGCTGGGGAAACTAAACATTCAGGTGTGTGAGCATGGCTTGCTCCCTGTGTGTTAGAGAAGAAGAATAGTTAAGCACAGGGACAAAGATCTCAGCATTGGGACACTTAGTTTGTCTACTTTGATGGCAGTTTGCATTTCCTTCACGAGCAACTTTTTGTCCTTCTGTGTTCTGTTATTAATGCCAAATGTGAGGACCAGCCTCTCTACCTGCTCCGTTTGACCAGTTTTGAGAAACAGACTGGTAACATGTCTCCACTTGGCTCCAGGAAAACTGTCCACCTGGATGTTGCTTTGTAGCGGGTAGGTTTCCAACATTCAAATCCCACAGGACCACATATTTTGCTTTCAGGTTAAGTGACCAGTCACGTGATGTATAACAAGTGTTTGTGTGTCTGGTTGTGGCATTTACCTGAGATGAAGGTGATTCATCAGTCCTGGTGGGGGTGGGGGTGGTGGTGAGCAGTGGGGGAACTGTTTGCTTGAAGGTAAGTTGCCTTTGTGTGCTCACTTCCATACGGCGAAGGAGCGCGATCGGCGCGTCTCTCCAGAGTTTAGTGGCACCAGGCAGCGGGCGGCAAGAAGAAGCAACCGGTGGGTTTGAGAGTAGCTTTGCTTCATGTCCATGGTGACCTGTTCTGTTGCTGTGATGCCACTGGGTAGGGTAGGTGGAGACTCCGTTACTCCTGAAGCTGAGGATCCTGTTGTCCTCTGGGTGTGCGTTTCCCACTGACTGGATGATCTCTGTTGTCTTTGGGGAAGAGCTGTCACCTGTGGAGTGCTGCGTGCCAGAGGTGATGGTGATGTTGCTGCAGATAGAGGGAGGGAGAGAATGCTGTGCTCTTCCTCTTTGGATGCTGCAGGCAACCAGTCCCCCCTGGATGGTTCAGTCATGGTTGCTACTGTTGTCATCTGGGGTGATGGTGGAGGAGAAGGAGAGGAGGCTTGAAAAGGAGATTGTAATCTCAAGGAACCCCTGGGAGTGTGGATGGAGGAGGAGGAGGAGGCAACAGAAAGTTCATCCTCACTCTGCTCTACCTGTTGTTGAATGTGCAGAGGGGGTGTGGTCTGCGTGGAGGACCCAGAGTCTGCAGGCACCGCAGATGTCAGTTCACCAGGTCCAGAATCTTCAGATGAGGGAGTTGTTGGTTCTTGTAATCCCATTTTCTCATCTGTTTTCAGGAAGACCTGCACCTCTTCAACCGATTCTGGTCTGAACCGTCTCCCCAGATTCCTTCTGGCCCATTTAGTGGCTATTTCTAATGAAGCCAGTAGGTTTCCGCCAAGATCTTTCAGGGTGCGTTTTTCTGCCTCCATGTCATCTTGACAGTGCTGTCTGAGGACCAGCATGTTGTTGTAGGCCCACGATCTGGCATTGCCATCTATTAGGGTGGAAGTTCTGGTCGATTGGGCAGCGGTTTTAATGATCGTGGCCAGGTAGGCTGTTATATTCTGGATCCCGGGTGGGTTATTGTCACTGTCAGACACGTTTTTCAGATAATGTGCCGCTTTAAGAAGTCTATGGATAGTTCTGACCTTCATGGTGAAGGCTGGATCATCTGATCTTCTTTTAAATCAATAAAAATACTTATGAAATGGTTCTTTTTGTCAATGGCCTCTGATATTTCCTCTGTAAGTTCCATTAGTGCCATGGAAGTTGAATGATTAGTTCTAAAACCATATTGACTGTCGTTTAACATATTTTATTTCGTCAGGAATTCATCTAGCCTAGTAATAAATAATTTTTCTAATATTTTTGAAAATTGTGACAATAAGTGTGTTTTTCATCACTTTTGTATGTTGGTTACACTATTTAGTATTCCCCAAGTTGCTGTGATATTATTTTTATTTTTGTCTAATAAATTGCTATAATAATTCTTTTTTTGTTTTCTTATTGTAACTAATTAATTCTTGTATTTTTTGTACCTATTTTCTGCTTCACTTGTTCTTTGCTTTAAAAAGCATCTATATAAGGTTTTTTTTTCTTACAGGCATTCTGCAGCCAGCCCTTTTGTCATCCATGGATTGTTCATGGATTGTCTTTTTGTTTGAATTTTGGTTTTACAGTTTTTATCAAATTGGTTGCACAGTATTCTTAAAAGGGAGTTGTAAGCCATGTTTACATCTTTAACACAAACTGTTTCCCAGTTTTGTTGTTCCAAGTCTCTTTTTAGCGCATCTATAACGTTTTGTGAGCTATCTCTTTATAGTCTTTGCGTTTTATGTTGAAATTTAATCCGATTATTTTTATGGACTGTAAAAACTGGCAGGTGATCACTGATGTCCGTCATTACAATTCCACTGCTCTCGATTTCCCTTGCAGCGTTAGTAAATATATTATCTATTGCAGTTGAACTGTGTGCATTTATTCTTGTTGGTTTGGTTATCAGTGGAAACAGACCCAGTAGATACATTGAATTGATAAATTCATGTGTTATATGAAAACAGGCCTTCTGTGATACATGACTTTTAAATCAAAGACATAAAACGCTCCACACTGGTTGAGTTCTGCCTGAATAACCCATTTCTCTGTTATTTTTCTAATCCCTTATTGCCCTCTAGCGGGCAAAAACATGAACTACATATGTTGTCTGTAGCTCAACAAACCTGTGTGAGACTTCTTTAGGAACTGTCAACATTAGGGTTGAGATTTGTTGGCTGGAAGAGGCAACTAGTGGTTAAAATCTGAAGGAATTTGTGTCAGATTCAGGTTAAGGTGTCTAATAAAATGTATAATTAGGACAATTTGCACCACTAGTTAGGTTTAGGATAAAAGGTTAAAAAACCTTGAAGGCACTGGCACTCCTGATGTTTAGTCCACCGAAACATGCTCGGGCTATTCTCCACACGAGCGCCCACAGCTCCCCAAATAACTGAAATCAGTTTTGAAATATGAAATATGACTTATGAATCATTCTTTCATTCCCTTACCTTCAATTAACTGGCATTCGATTTGCTCCTCTCAGCTTTTAAAGTTGCCCCCATCCCACTCTGGCTACGCGTTTTAACACTCTTCGTTCTTCTTCAGGCCACTGGAATCCCTTTTTAGCTCATTAAGTATTTGTGCTTATTCCTAATTTCCCTTTTCTGCAACATATTAATTTAGTTAGACACCCCCTTAACTGTTCCTTCCTTCCATGAGTTTGGCTTGCTTTATATATCCTGGTCTGGGCTTAAGCCTTTGAAACTTCGGGCTCTCCTATTGGTTCTTATTTATTGTCCAGTTTGGCTTTGTTATATATGAATACATTTGATTTTTATGGGGTGACAAGGGTTAGGGTTAGAGGTGGGTTCCAGGGTGGGGTTAAAAGGATTAGGTTGGGCCTAACAGTACAAATAATAAACCGGTCTGTGTTTAAGGAGCTGTGGGCTGCAAGTGAGGACGCACTGGCAACAAGGTGTACAGGCTGCGGGAGGCCTCTGGCGGGCTAGGTTAGGATAAAAGTTTAAAAAACCTTGAATGCACTGTCACTCCTGGCATTTAGTCCACCAAAACATGCTCGGGCTGTCCCCACACGAGCGCCCACACAATCTATCTGTATCAAAACGCTGGGGCACTAACAGCAAACCAAAAACCCCAGGAGTGGAGAACACAGTGAGGTGCTAGAAACAGAGTCTGAGAGATCAGTTTTAACACCAGGTCTCCTCTGTAGCTGTGTCTCCCAGAATGATGGAGTTGGGAGGCTTAAGACGGCTTCAGGAACGGCTGATGGTTGATTGGGTGCAGCTGCTCCACAACACTCTCTGCTGGCCTCTGGTGGTGTGCGGCTGGGTTGCAGGACTTGGGGCCTGCAGCAGATCACCAGGAGAGCAGAGCAGAACCTCTGGGTTCGTCACATCTAGCCTTAAATAATAGTCCCGCCCCTACTTTGACGAATGTCCTCCTATCACCTAGCAACTGCTACTGCACTAAGAAGCTGCAGAAATAAAGATCGCACATGTTTTAAATATTTTCTTTGTTTTGTTACAGTTGGAAGAGCTACAGCAGATGTACCACCGGTGTTCTGAGAAATTCTGTTCCCCTAAAATATTATGTTTCCTCTAATAACGTAGACAAATAAAGAACAAATATTTCTAAATTCACAGGACTTGATGTCCTTTATAAGAGGACTAAATAACCTCAAACTGAGTGAGACTACATCCTTTCACATAACTTTCAAAAATGATAAACTTGCTGGAAAAAAGTGAACATTTTTACTGTACTTCTGAAATATTTTTAAGTAAATAAAAGTAAATAAATAACATCACAAGCATGACCTTATTACGTGATTTTCCGTGAAGAGCGACTTCCTGACATGGGGGAACAGAATTTCTCACAACACCTGTCCCACAGTGCATCTCGGGATATATAAAGGTGAGAAGACTACACCGCACACGTTCTGAAATTCAGGTAAAAGAAGAATAGATTTCAAGACTGTATTCTGAGGACTCTTTGAATTTGGACAGCCTTCATCACGGTGCTGTGACGTCACTGGTTTTAAAATCGAAACTCATGAGCACGCAACCCGAATTTGAACACAGCCATCATCTGGGTAATGAAAAATGTATTTTTCTGCTTACCCCCTGTAATGTGCTCGTGGACCACTAGGGGTACGTGTACCCCTGGTTGGGAACCTGAACCACATTTAATAGTTGTTTTTTAACAAATTAATCAGTGTCTCACAACTATTTGTAAACCACTTTACTATTTATGCATTCAGATACAGGTAAAAGATCTCATCTTCATAAAGTGCATTTGGAGTTTTTATGATCTGAATCAAGACACGTTTCTATGATCTGTACATTCAAGACATGGAATCAGTTCACGACAGAACTCCATCATTTCAGGTCAAAGCTGCCACCTGGTGGCAGAAACAGTGATGTGCTCAGGAAGGACACCAGAATACTGACAAATAAAACTTTTTGCAGTTTTCTTATTTTACATCGAAACTTTCATAGCACCCTACAAACTAACTTGTTGGCTTTGATATCTCAATAAAGACATATGCAGTTTACCAGTTCCTTTCTTAATGAAAATACCCTTTAGTTATCCAGCAAAAAAAAAAAATCTCATCTCTCCAGTTTCCTTTTTAATATGATGTGGTAATGAAAAATACCCTTAAGTTAACCAGCAAAAATAATCTAATTTCTCGTTTGTTTGCCTTCACATGATTGCAAATGGGACTGGGAGATCAAGGTTCAAATACCAGTTGGGTTATACCATTGACTTTAAAAATAGGACCTAAAGCCTCCCTGCTTGACACTCTTTAAGCAGTTGGATTGGGGGGTTAACCACCAAACGGTTCCCAGAGATGTCATTTCACCAGTGTGTGATGTTTACTAATGGGACATAGTCTCATTCTGACAAAAAATAGTCTCCGTCCATTTCTGTCTACTTATCCGAGTCTGGGTAGCGGGGTAGCAGTTCCAGCAGAGAATGCAGTGAGAAGAAATCTGTTTTTGTAGATTATTTAAATCTTTGACTCATTTTAGTCGGCTTGAACACTGCTGTTAACCACTTAAACATTCTCCCTCTCCTGATAACATCTTACTTTCAAATTAATAAAATTATGTTGTTCAGAGTCTCCAGAAGCAACACAGCTCATGTCCGCCTTTTGTTACCCTTATGGAGCGGACTTTCGCGCGCGTATTAAACGCCGCCCACAGATTTCCGTATTCCTGAGAAGTCCCTCGGATTTATATGTGAACACTACACCACCTGTTCCAGCCCGAACAAACCCCTGCCGTGCCGACACGATTGTGTAAGCACCACATGCGCTGTCTGTCCGTCTCTCTCTGTGTGTGTGTGTGCTCTGTCTTCTCCATCCCCAGTGAGTCATGGAGGATGGCTGCTTATACTGAGCCAGGATCCTCCCGAGGTTTCTTCCTGTTAAAAGGGAGTTTTCCTCTCCACTGTCGCTGCATGCTTGCTTAGTATGAGGATTGCTGTAAAGACACTGACACTAGTCAGTGACTCGATGCAACCTGCTGGGTTCCTTATATAGGAAACTTTTTACTGACTGGCTTACTGAACTGACCTGTATTGGAATGTTTACTGTGTGAAGGTCCTTGAGACGACTCTGGTCCTGATTTGGCGCTTTAGAAATAAACTTGAATTGAAAATATCAATTAATAATCTGATAAAATTGCAAAACATAGAGAATGCATAAATCCTTACTCTACTCCTGGTGAATTACAAAAGATGGGTTTGTTTTGAGCAAAAATAAAGTAGGAAATGATAAACGAATGATCTGGAGACATCTAGAGAGCTGCAGCCACGCTGTACCAAAACTAAATTACTCTGATTAAATTTGATGTAGACGACTCGTTTTGGAAGAGATTTCACCAACAATCACACTAGCAACAATAACTTCTTCACAAAAATGCTCCAGATTAAGAGGGTTATTAGTTCATCAAGTATCTTCCTCAGCTCCAGGAAGCCCCCTGTAACAAGCCCAGAATGTCAGGACAGTGTTTTGTCTCTTCAGTGGCTCACTTCAGAAGGCAACTCATGAGCAGCAAATCACTGAGAATCCATGGATTTAGATTTCAGCAGGCTGTCACTTCTCTCCACCATTACCATGCGTGCCTAAAGCCAATCTCCTAAAATCAAATGGAAGAATATTCTCTTTCAGTCCCGGAAAATAAAAGCTAAACAGCTGTCCTTTGGCTCACAAGAAGAAGTCGATTTTGGCAGAGACGGCTTTACAGCCAGTGGTGGAGAAGTATTGTCCATGGACAGGAGCGTAGAACATACTGCGCCCAACAGCCTCAACCACGTCGCTACGGCTACGGATGTTGCGTTGGTGGAGCTGAGATTGAGCACAGCGCTCAACATGGTTCCTGGTCAACGGCAGGAAGGGAACAAAGCGAGTGATAAGCTTCTGCTGCACAATGTTGGACTGGAAAAATCCACCTGGAGAAAGGAACTAACATCAATTTCTTTGACTGACTGCATCTGAGAAATAAAACGATTCATGTGTGATTAGGTTTTCTTTCTAGTATGGAGTATTTCAAATCTAAATAACTCTTACTTGTATTGCTGTTGTAACTCATCTGTAAGACGGCTTCTTCCAGATCCCGCAACTTAATCTCCTCTCGTTCCCGTCCAGCCTGACGATTCTCCAAAGCCACTTTCAGAATG